GTGCTTCTTCATGGAGCCGAGAAAGTTTTCCCGCCCAAAGAGGCCGACCGATCACCATCGACTCAAACTAATACAAACACTACTTCTGCAAACAACGCAGCTTGTGTTAAACCTTGTGAGGGAACTGCAAAAGGTATTCTTCCCGTTGCGTTGGTAGATGTGTCCTCTGGTTCGGAAAATTCGAATGCACTAGCACTTTGTGACACTTCGAATGCATTCTTGGGTTTCCGCGGCACTCGTTGAACGTCTGAAATTAGTTGGCACGCCCGTAAATGTTTCGACCGATGGTTTTAACTCAGCCAAGGTATCTAAAACTGAACGAGTTCACTTGAAAGTTTCCGCAAAGCCCAATGAAAGTGAATTTTCGTTTTCGTTTGTCGCTTTCGTTAAGCACAACATGTATATAGGACCCGATGTTATAAACGTTTCCGAATTGCAGGTCAAATACCCGCAACTAGCCCCGTTAAAGACGACTGCGTATAATTACAAAGAGATTGAGATAGTTATAGGACAGGACTTCTATCATGCGATAAGACCCCTCGAACATGTCTTCGGAGATGAACTTGACTCACCGTGCGCCGTCCGACTTCCGATAGGTTGGGTCATTAGTGGTCCGTCTCTTGATCGTTCGTCCTTAAATTCTTCTTCCTTTAACTGCGTTACGGACGATATTTCTCTGACCGACCAAATCAAAACTTGGTATGAGTTAGAGTCTTATGGTGCGTTCAAGCAAGTAGATGCCCGTTCCGCCGCAGACAAGCGTGCTTTGTCGATCCTAAAAACTGAAACCGTTCACGATGGTGAGCGTTACACTGTACCGATGCTGTGGAGTGATAATGATGTTAGCTTGCCTAACAATTATTATTCTTCATTAGCCCAATTAAAGTCGTTAGAGAAAAGATTAGATAGAGATCCGTTACTTCGCGAGAAGTATACCGAAACAATCAGAGAAGATATAAGTAAAGGATATGTCATAACCGTCAACCCGCACGATCCCAGCTCACGAGCCGAACGTGAGTGGTATCTTCCACACCATCCGGTTTTGAACCCGAACAAACCCGGCAAGGTGCGCCGTGTGCTCAATGGAGCATCCAAATTTCATGGCACTTCCTTAAATAGATCTCTCTTGGTTGGCCCGGATCTCCTTCAAAATCTTATTTTTGTACTGTTGAGGTTCCGTCAACACAAGTACGCCGTCTCAGCGGACATAGAAGGTATGTTCTTACAAGTTGGAGTACTTGCGCGAGATCAACCGTCTCTCCGTTTTTTGTGGCGGGAGGACCCCACTTCAAGTGTGGTGGTTCACCAATACACCCGTCATATTTTTGGCGCTCGTGATTCGCCAACTTGTGCGAATTTCGCGCTACAAAAAACTGCTTCTGATAATCAAGCTGAATACCCCGAAGCCGCTTCAGCCGTTGTCCAGAAGTTTTACATGGACGACTATCTTGACTCGTTCGAAAATACCGCTGACGCTCTTAGCCTAAGTAAAGACTTAGTCGCAATGCTCAAATTAGGTGGGTTTAACCTGACAAAGTTTGTTAGCAATGTACCCGAAGTTACAACCGCTCTTAATCCGGACAACCGTGAGTCCAACCCGTCAGTTAAGGATATTTGTAAGAGTCCAGACCAATCGTCGCATGTTCTTGGTCTTAGGTGGGATCATGTAAAAGATACCCTAGTAGTAAGTAGAGGTGTTGATCGACCACTAGATAAAGCAATTACTCAACGCACCGTGTTGAGTTTTGTTTCCTCAGTTTTTGATCCAATAGGACTGGTAGCTCCATATACTGTGAAAGCGCGCCTTTTACTAAAAGACATATGGAGAATCAGTGGTCAAAAGTGAGATGATGATCTCCCAGAGGAAATTAAACAACAGTTTCTAGATTGGCACTCAGGACTTCCACTATTAGGTACTCTGACGATACCTCGTAGCTACTTTACCGAACCGTTCGACCGCTGTGAACTTCACACGTTCGGTGATAGTTCGCAGGACGTTTTTTGCGCCGTATCGTTTCTCCGAGCCCGACTTGCTAAATCGCAAAAGACCGAGTTAGCTTTTGTATTTGGGAAAGCCCGTGTAGCGCCTATGAAGATGCTCTCCATTCCCAAGTTAGAGCTTCAGGCTGCTCTGCTTGCGACTCGACTCAAAGAAGAGATTTTGAAAGCGCTTACTTTCAAAGTAAGCAATGTATTCATGTGGACTGATTCTACCACCGTTCTCCAGTGGCTTAACTCGTGCAACAAACTTCCTGTGTTTGTTGGAAACCGCACTGGTGAAATCTTGGAGTCCACCACCATTGATCAATGGAATCATGTACTCAGTGGTGATAACCCAGCTGATACCGGCACACGAGGGATTTCTTCGGAAGCCCTCAAGGATAGCAGCTGGGTTAGAGGCCCTAGTATATTGAGGACATGTGATTGGCCATTCAAGCAGAACACTGATGTCATCAAAAAGATCCAATTAAAAGGCCCACTCTGTGACATTGATACATGCCTTGAGACTGCATCTACGTTTGTTGTTGATGCTTCATCTGAGAAAGCGCCGTCGATCCGTCTGTTTAAAAATTGGGATAAATTCAGCTCAATTGTAAAGTACAAACGTGTTTTAGCGTTTATGCTTCGTGTGCTACCATCGCATAAACACTTCCGTACAAAAACGCTTGAAATAACCGACCCGTCCGAGTTAGATATTGCCGAGCAGAAGCTCATTTATCTCGCTCAGTCCGAATCATTTCCTGCCGAAGTGAAAATACTTCAGTCCGATAAACTGATAACAAAGAAAAGTCGGATTGCTAAATATTCTCCGTTCATCGGCCCAGCTGGCATCCTGCGTTCAACTGGACGTATCAGCCGTCTTGTTGATACCGACTTTGATAGCAAACATCCAATAATACTGGATGGTCGACACCGAGTTGCTCATATGTAGATTAGGCATATGCACTTTCAACATGCACATCAGGGGTTGGATTACATGCGTGCTGTAGTTCAGTTGAAATACATTGTTCTGAAGTTGCGCTGGTTACTTGGGAACATCGAAAATACTTGCATAACATGCCGTAAGCGCAAAGCAAAAACAGTTGTGCCCATTATGTCTGACCTACCGATTGAAAGACTGGGTTACAAGCAGCCTCCCTTCTCCAACACAGGTGTTGATTACTTTGGCCCGTTTCAAGTGCCGATACGCCGAAGTACCGAAAAGAGATGGGGTTTCCTATTTACCTGCCTCACGACTCGAGCAGTTCACATCGAGTTGGTTCCATTTCTCGATACTAGTTCCTGCGTCATGGGCGTAGAGCGATTTATTGCAAGGCGAGGTACCCCCAAAACCATTCTTTCTGACAATGGCACGAATTTTGGTGGTGCTCAAAAGGAGCTCCTATCCTGTGTCCAAAATTGGAACAAAGTCGCCCCGGCCGTTTTCGTCCACAAAGGCATTAAGTGGAAGTTTAACCCGCCCAGTGCCCCTCATCACGGTGGCGCCTGGGAGCGGCTAGTGAGAAGTGTTAAGCGAGTGTTGTACGACATATTAGGCAACAGGAGGTTAACTGAGGAAGTTCTAGGAACAACGCTCTGCCTAGTTGAACAATTACTTAACGCAAGACCGATCACTCCGGTCAGTTCCGATCCGCACGACCTAGAGGCACTCACCCCGAATCACTTCATTCTCGGTCACAGCGCAGCTAGCTTCCCGTCGCTAAGTTTCGAAGAAAACTTCGACCATAAGAAGCGGTTCGCCAGAGCGCAATCATACGCTAACGCAATATGGATACGGTGAATGCGGGAATACGTTCCTTCCCTCAATAGGAGGGCAAAGTGGCACAACCAGTCAGACGTTAAGTTGAAAGCCGGTGACTTGGTTTGGGTCATAGAGCCTGACACTCCACGTGGACATTATCCACTCGCACGTATCCTAAGACTGCACTATGGCAAGGACGGATGCGCGCGATCCGCCGACATAAAGACCGTTACGAGCGAACTGACCCGCCCGACCGTAAAGCTCGCTCCCGTTCTTCCTTGTTTAGGGGTGGAGGATGTTGCAGCGCAAATATAAAACAATAGTACAAATGCATATAAACGTAAATGTGCGAGAGTATAAATGCATATAAAAGTAAATGCATACAGGGACAGTAGCCAAGCGTATACATGATGCGTCCCGGCGGGTTCGGCTCCGGTTCGAATCCCGACTAGGTCATTTCCTTTCTAGAACTCGAATATGCACCGAACTTGATGGGATGCTCCGTAACCAGGTTCGATCCCCCAAAACCGATTTTAACCGTTTTTTCGCTCTAATTTGGTTCAGCCTTGATTAAGGCTGACCTTTAAAAAGAGCAATTTGTCTCAAGGACAAATACTGGCCATTTTTTGCAGCTTGCTTTGAGTTATGCAGTTTTTTGTGGCCGATGTTACCGATGTTAACAATAAAAAAGTTTGTTAAAAATATCATTGTATTACGAAATTTCCAGAGTTATTTTCCCGATAAAATACTCGTTAATTCAAGTGTTTGAAAACAGATTTTATTACGAAGTGTGGAGATTGGCGCGAACATAAGCTGAGATGCAGTTTTGAGTTCAAGACGGCTTAACGTGCGGATAGAAATGTCGAGTGCTCGTGCAATTTTTAAACAACAGCTCAAGAAACCCAAAAACGAGAAACATTTAAAGTTGAGTTGAAGATATTATCCGAACGTTTATAGAACAAAAATACAAGAAAATAGTGTTATCTAATCTAGTGTCCGGCTGTTAAGACCACGCTTCATAAAATTCTCCAAATAACACGGTTGAAATCGAAAAGTTCGGCTCTTTTCCAGTTCCCCCCTTTCAAAATACCGAGTTTTATGCTTGATTTACGTGTTATTACGGCTAAATGCGTGATGTTACGCTGTAAAGTATGAAGAACAAATCTGTTCAAAATTGTCGATTTGTTCACCACGCCAAATTTCATTGCATTATGACAACGTTAAATAGACTTTTCAAATTTGAATTTGAAAGGGGGGGAACTGGAAAAGAGCCAAAAGTTCAATCAACATATTTTAAATCTGATTAGTCGCCTTAATGTTTTGTCGATATTTTTACCAAGCACGATCCAAATTATTGTCTAGGAATGCATCTGATCAGAGGGGGGTTGTCTGGTTGGTTGGCAATATCCCAGTGGGTCTCCAGGGTCTGCAGAGAGACCTCCCCCACAACCTCGAATCTAAACTGGGGAATCAGTGCCTTCAGCGCCGCCCGAACTTCAGCAAGGCCCAAGTACTTCCCCACACACCCTTTCGGTCCCTCGCCGAACGGGAAGAATTTGCCCTTGTTTGTCTCGAGGTCTTCTCTCGCGGGGTTGAATAAATGGGGGTTGTCCCAGATGCCACTCAAGTAGTTCATGGATTCGACGTTTATGATCATGCCTTCACCTTGGTGAAAAAAAAATCTGGTGTTTTATCAGCGTTATAGAGGCCGAATAAAATCGAAGTGTAAATTCAAAAACGTAAATAAAACATTTCGGATGTAAAACCTACACAATTTGAAATTGGGGAGCGTTTTGAGCATTTGAGAATATTCAAAAAATGTGTATTTTATGTAATGAACAGTTGATCGTACATGGTTTATATCAACAGTTTTAAATAAGTTTCATGAAAAATTTAAGACCAACTAAGGTTAAAAAGTAATACAACTCTGCGCGAATTCAATTCAATATAATTTATTAGATAATCACCTTTTTTCACTTGAAGTTTGGACCCGTCCTGCAATAGTGTGTCTAGCGTGACGTCATCACATGCCTGTCGGATGATTACTGGACCGACTGGCTTGAATCGTAGAGACTCGAGGGACAGCTGGTCCACAAGATAGTCAAAATTCATGTCGTTCACTTCTGTAATATTACAGTTTGAATCCAGAGATAATCGGTTTTGAAAAATGATTAGAAAGTAGTGACAAGATTGAGTTTATGTTCATGATTTCATTTTTTATTAATCCAAAGGGACCAATTTTAAAGCCTTCTCTAAGTTACTTTCAGAAGCATGCTGTGTCGTGGCAACAAAAATTAGTTGGTAGGAAGTTAAACTTTTGGTAGCATACCTTAATTTTTAAATCTCCAACCAGTGAAGTTTTGAACCAGGTGAGCACCAGCGGATTTTTTTTTTGGGGGGGGGGGGGGGACGCCCTCCCACTCCCTCAGGGATTCGACCCCCTGCCGACCCAAAGGGTCCCCCATTTTTTATTTTGAGATACCCATTTGTGGCTGACTGACCCTGAAGTTTTTTCAAGGCGCCTTTGGCGCCAAAACATACTAATTTGGTCAAAATTTTCAAAAAGTGCCTAGAAACGCCTTTTTTCAATTTTGTTGATCCGTTTTTTTTGGACTTGCCCACCTTCATTTTTGTGGAGTTGTCTCTGGAACTGGACACTTATATCATCTCTGCCAGACAATCCAAGCATCGCGTAATACATAGTCACACTGGAAGTGTCAGTACCTGCCAGCAACATTTCCAGGAAAGTCTGACTCATCATTTCCGGCTCAAGGTCAAGGTCAACAAACTTATCAAACATCGTCTTTTGTTCTCTTATTTCATGTTCACGTTTTTTAAGAGCGCACTGAATAAGTTCATTCACGTGTTTATTCAGAAGTTGAACTGAGTTTTGATGTTTTTCAGCCAGTTTGTGGTCCAGTTTGGAGTTGGGTCGAAAAAGAAAATACTCCCAAGCTTTGAAGTAGTTCACAATACATGCAATAACCTCGTCTTCATTAATTCTATATTCGATCAAATCGTCATAAGTTACATTACAGAACAGTTCCATAGTTACATGAAATGTAACTTTTCGAAATATTTCCAGAAAGTTAAGCTCCTTCATCGGTGATTTTTCGATATACTTATCAACTATTTTTGTAACTTCGCGAGCTGCAATTTCTCTCGCATATTGCAAATCTTTTTCTCTAAGCGATGTCTGGAATACTTTCCGGATAATTCTCCAAGAGTGGTTGTCATTGTTCCAAATCAAACCTCGATTTTTCATTCCAAGGTGTTCAAGCCCTTCATCATTAGCTGACCTTTCGATGAAAACTTTGCTTCTGAAGACTTGATCAGCTAAATCTGGTTCGTTGCTGATGATTGTTCTAACCCCGTCAATCAAAACTTCAGCAATTGTTCCGAGTTCTTCCGAGCGCTGATGATAGAGCACGTGATCAACTTTAGATTCTAGAATATTCTTGGTTACGACAGGAACTGTCTGTCCATTTGTGAGAATCAAGTCCTGAAGATCCAATAGACAAGATTGAGTTTGTCCATAGTTGTCAGAAAGATTGGCGTGTTTCTCTATTTCAAGGTCATCGTCGTTGGTTCGTAAATACGACCACATATTTTTTATCAGGGTAAAAACCATTTTTGACGATGGTTTGGGGTTGGTGCCGTATCTTTCGGATACTTGCCAGAAACTTAGAAAAACGAAGAAGTTTCAGGATGCAGAAATGAAGGACGAACTGTAACTCAAACTCAATTGTTTGCCAAAGGAGGCGGATCAATAAGCAGAATGGTCCAAGTGCAGAATGGGTCCAAGAGCAGCAAAACAGAAAATTTTTGACTTATATTAGTTTATACGAGCTATTTGATAAAACAATTATTAGAATCGTCAAAAAATACCAAGAAAAAGAATAAATAATGCCTGAATTGTCTAATTTCATTAAGTTTTTTCTTAATTTAAAAAAAAATCTTTGATTAAATTACTCAAATTGTCATAAAATGTTCGTTGCGTTGATATTATTGACTTTTCTGATAATGAATATACCGATTAGCTTATAAAAGTTGATATTTTTCTGTTTTTCTGCTCTTGGACCCATTCTGCTCTTAGACCATTCTGCTTATTGACTGGCCATCTTTGCCAAATTACTTCAACTGACGATATACGAGAGTTCTTCCGGTAAAATACTCTTTTAATCGCCTGATAAGCTTGGGTTGTGACCTTTGTTCATTTGCCTTTAAACAGCGATATCAAAACTTATTATTTCTGAGAAGTATTGAAGATTTGACGCCAACATTGGACTTGATTAGAAAAAAAACGAATTTTCGCATCAGGTTTACATACTGACTATTCTGAATGTTTTTCAGCTTGGTTAAATTTATTTCAGCCGGCCTCGAATGATCTGCTAACTTAACAATTTCGCCACGATTTTGGAGTCAAAATCCATGAAAACTGCTTCGCCGTGTCGTACCTAGTAGGTATGAAGCACCCTTGCAAAGATCTAAATCAGTTGTTAAGAACATGCAGACTTTGACAGAATTTTAAGCTAAGTGGAATCAATTTTCTAATTCCACTGAGCGATATTTCTTTGCAACGTTCGGGTTCTGAATAGAAACGATATCGATTCCTTTCAGAAAGCCATAAATGCGCAAAAACTATATCAATATGGAAATTATAATTGCACAAAAAATCATAATTGAATTTTTCAAGAACTAAAGGTCTTTTAGTACTTCAATATATGAGAATTTTTTTTAATATCCATATTTTTTAGTTCAATCAATTAATTTTGAAAAAGGCACCCCCAAATAGCTGAAGGTTGACCGCAATTGGACCTTGTACTTTTTTGGTATATACAGAAAATGTTGAGATCATAATTATCTTAAACATGGGTATGAATTGCCCAAAAACTAAAGCCAAAAAAGCAACGAACAAACAGGGCTCAAATTTATGGAATACAAGCTGGGTCGCTTAAAATTATTTGTCTTTCCAACCTCAAAGGAACTATATAACTACGTATTCCGAAGTGTAATTTTTTACCTCGCAAACTCAAGTGCCACCAACATCACCGTACAATATCGAGTCGAGTGCTATACCATAATTATAAATTTTTTGCCCTTTCGAGCTTAATAAAAAGATTTCTCTCTTCGAGAACGTGCAACATTGGATTTCAACAACAGCATTAAAAGCGAAGGATAGATCCTTTTTCCGAAAAAACAAACAAAAATGGTTATATTATTCTACAGGGTGTTTCAAATAAACTGTTTTTTCCAAAAAGCTTGTCATTCCATAACCGTTGATCTGTTTGAATTCAAACTTTCAGGAGAATGTGCGAAAAAGAAGGAAATTTGATTTAATAAAAAAAACTGCATTGGTTAGACCAACATGATAAAAAACCAACTGCTTAAAAACATTTTTCCAACTGCTTCACATGTTCAAGCTCCAAACTTTTTTTAAAATGTTTGCTCGTACGTGTATAAAACAGCGAAATGGTTTTCACAGTGGAAGGAGAAAAATGGAATATTTGTTTATTCGTATTTTTACGAAATATTCAAGAACTCATTTAAACAGTCGAAGATGCTACTAGCCCGGGTTGACCAAAAATGATTGTCCTACAATTTTCGTGTATGAAAAAATGCTTATCATACAATTTCGTACAATTCCATAGGTACAGAAAATGTTAAGAAAACTCTAAGATAAGCATTTTTTCATATATGAAAGTTGTAGGACAAGTATTTTTTCATAAACCAAAAAATTGATTTTTTCTAAATTTTAGTTCTCAAAATTGTTGGGATGTGTTTGTGACCGAACACAAGTGACTAAACCCATGGTGTACTCAAAACTAGAGTTCCCAAAGGGTTGATCGTCTGTCATTGACAACGCATTGGAAACGACCTGAATTGTAAAAGTGACGTCTTCACAAATGTTATACTGAAAGATTCAAACTTTTAAAATTTGGCAAAAACTTTCAAAGATGATTATTTTTGAAAATAGAATTTTTAACTTATCAGACATTCATCAAGGCATATATAAACATGCCATACGAAAAAAAACTGGAGTTTTTAGCCTGTTTAAAAAAATTTATCCAGAGAAACGGAAAAAATCTAATTTTTGTGCATCGAGGACTACGTTATGCATACAAAAAATTAAAATTTGCATGCAAATTTGTTTTTTGAAAATGTTTCTTTGAGACAAATTTCGATTTGCGGTTGAAAAAATGAAAAAAAAAATTTTGGGGCATTCTCAAATTTTTTTTAAAACTGAAAATTCTATGACAAGCATTTTTCCATACGTTTGATGTATGAAATTGTATGATAAGCATTTTCGGTGTATGGAATTGTAAGATAAGCTTTTTCGGTTTATGGAGGTCAACCCGGGAGCAGTACAATAACACGGCCCAGAATGGTGAGGTTTTATTGAAAAACTTGCATTACGAGGTCAAACTGTGCATTTTGAGAATTGTGAGCGGATTCCGCGACAAGGACGCTCCCTTTGCTCTTCTTTTAGTCTTTCATTCTCTTTTATCGCCTTGACAAAAATTCAACATGTTTAAAGATTTGTCTCTGGAATCCAGGAACATACAGACACAAAATTGTGCGCCTATCCAGCGCACAGTTTTGCCTCGTAATGTGAAGAAAACCTTTCCGAAAACATTTATAAACAATTTCAGCAGCTAATAAAATTTCCATTAGTGTCTCTATTTTGCAGAAAAAAATAGTATTTATCTTCTCTTCAAAAAGCGATAGCGTTTTCAAAAATAAGTTAATTTGAAACACCCTGTAAATAAACAAAGAAGTAAAACTTGTTTTATTATTCATCGTTTCATGGCACAGGGTTACTTTTTTCTGCCCAAATGTTGTCACCTCAAAAAATTCTATTATAATTAAGGAAAAACGCAGATGTTGTTGTAGCAAAATGGGTCAAGTGTGATTTAATCACAAAACATTTGATGAGAAAATGAAATCCGAATTTAGTTCTCGCGCAACGCTTAAGATGTTTTAAGCACTATATATAACCTGTCGTTCTAGCTGTTTTAATTTTTTTCAAGCAAACTCAAGAAGTTTACAAGAAACCTGCAAAAAACCTTTGAAATGTTTTGAATTCTTGTCGATAATTTTCAAACTTCTTTAATTAAACTACTATAACGGGAAAAACTTGTACGTCTTGCACAGCAACCAGTTATTCTTGTCTAAACAATCAATTTCAATTAAAAGAAAAACTGGTAGGCACTTTCAACTGCACCCATAAAACGTTTAATCATTTATGTTATTTACATTTCAAAAAATTGATGTAGTCTTTCGGATTTTTCAACAAAATTAGTTTAGTCAAGTTAAAAGTCAAGACACCCTCTGCAAATTTTTTTTTTGATAAATTAAGACGCAGCATTGGCAAGTCGAGTCCTGTTGCTGCGCTGCTCTTACTGTAAACACCAGGAGTAGCCTTAAGCAGCCGTTCCTTAGACATTTATTTAGACAAAACACCGTTTATTTAAAACTTTTGATTTTTACGAAGAGCACTGGATTTTTTTTGTTTCAATAAATTGGAGAAATTTTAATTATTTGAAGGAAAAAACTGCCTGTTTTTTGTTTGTAAGCCTTCTGACCAACCACTAGGGTCAATTGTGGTATCATATTGAATACTTATCATCATAATTCTGTGCCCAGGGTTGAGAAAAGCGGGTCTAGAAATATTTGTTTTTGAAACTAAATAAGGCAGAGGTTGGGAAAGAAATTTGATCAAAAGACGACCTCCTCAATTAGTTCCCCTACGTTTCAAACGCTCATAACAATTAATTAAAATTCTATGGTGCATTTTAAGCAATAGTTCAATCCTCTTGTCTAGAAAAAACACAGCGAACGACGGCAGGAAATACAAACACTGCCAACAACCAAATAAAAAAGAGTCAAGGAACGCACGAGAATAAAAATAACTGTCTTTTTAATTAAAAACTTCAAGTTTCAAACTTCAAATTATAAAATATATAACAATATAACTTTTAGAATATCAGTTAAAATTTTTATTGACTTTTTTCGATGAAATTATTTCATCAAAAAAAAAATCAAAATTTAAAATTTTTGTTCCGCTGTGAAAATTGAAAAATAAATTCCACTTTTTAAAAAGAAGACAATTAGGTTTTTACATTTTTGCTGTTCGATGGTGTGTTTTGCCTTCCTTTTAACAAAGAAACTGAATTGAACATGAGAACAAACCAGTTTTGAGCGTGAACTACTTTTAAAATTGTTTCCTTAAAAAACGAAAAATCATAACAATCAATCTAAAAATTTTCAATACGTTAATCGACTCTCAACTTTTTTTCCGCTAGAAAATACAATGAATCTATTTTTTCCACACCATTGGAACTATTCTTATTCGAGGGCGATATTGGCCCTTTTTTTTACAAATGAACTTGAACTTAAAAAGAAAATTAAAGTCAGGCCAGGAAAAATTAGTTTACAGCAGGGGCATTTTTGAGTTTTAGGAAAACAATAATATCGAAAAAAAAACAACAAGGTCAGCCATTTACTGTGCAAGTAGCAGAGAATGTTCCTTGCATAGTCTTTAAAAATACAATCATTTTATTTTTTAAGTAAGAAACGTTTGTTTTGTTTTAACATGAGGTGATAAAAGGATCTGAACGAAAAACCAGAACTTAGGCATACTCGACAAACAAAGTAAAGTTGGCGAAATAGACAGCAACTTTTAATTGAAAAAGACTAGAAAAACAAGAAAAAATTATCAAAAAATTCAAAAAATAAAAAAAAGTTTTTTCTGAGTTTTTAGTGTCTCGAAATGTCGCTTAAAATCTCCAAACATGCCAACACAGTCAATGAGCTTAATTTAAAAAATACCGACTTGTATTTTGAAAAGATGTCTTTTCTCGATTTTCGAAAAAAAAGATGACCTTACGGCTCTGAATTTCTGGAAGAAAAAAATCTTTTAATTGGAAATTTTTCGATAAACTGACCCAACTGGGTCAATAAGTTTTTTATTTCGCTGTGAAATCTGAAAATCAAATTCCACCTACAAAACTAGATGTCGACCACGTTTTTGGTGACTTTTACATTTTGCTGTTCGATAGTGGAGTTTGTTTTCCTTAACAAAGGAAATGAACTGACTTCGGAAAAATCATCACCCCTGTATAAGAGTCTGAACTACGTCTTAAAAGTTAACTGTAATGGAGTGAAACTGAGCTCTCACGGCTTAAGCTATTCATGAATAAGCTATTGTAAGACCTGCTCGCCCGCTTTATTCGCTCGAAATGAGACTTAACATAAAAAAATTTAAACCTATTCTTCTCGATAAAAGAGGAACTTACTTTTGGAAAACTTTTTGATGTTCAAATCACGACTGGAAACGTTTCAATATAAGACTCGACACATTCCGATGATTATTTGTGGTACCTGATTTTGCGTCGACAAACAAGAAGAAACACACCCGAATACAAAGTTTCTCCCCATTTTCAATTGTCGGAACCATTAGCACGACTCATACCAGTGTCCTAACTATGATGATGGACCATTGACACTTAAAAAGGACTTTTGGATTTAAAAAAAATCTTTTTAAAATTTATTTATCGTTTTTTTTTAAATGTGTTCAGCCAAAAGATCGAGCAGCAACTTCCTTCTTGCTGATGCAATATTTTTAAAACTCTGGCATGTAAGAACATCTGTTTTGTTTAAAATAAATATTGAACAAGTATAGATACAAAATATAGAATTATAGTAATATATATCCACGCTTATTTACGGAAAGACGACTTTCGTTATTTTGAGAACGTTGCTTTTTTAGAGGGTATATTCACTTAACTAGGTAATAAATAATTCAGACGTCTCGCATGTCATCATATATAAGTAATTACTGATATTATAAAATCATTTCAGCCTTCAAAATCCGTCTATGCATCATAATATCCATGAATACACCAGTTAAATTACTTAATTATGTCAGCATATCTAAAAGAACTTCTAGTTTTATAGCACAAAGTTTGTTTAAAACGAAGCTGTGGCAACTACAAAGGTTGCGTTTGTTTCTTCAACCATTCAATCAGTTCCGTTTTGCCCTGTTTTTCAGCAAGTGGGGTCAGTTTATCCCAGCAGAACTGGTGATAGTCATTGACCCAGTTGACCTCTTTATCACTCAACATACTCTTGTCAATCAGTTGTCGGCACAATGGCACACACGTGATGGTTTCTGGTTTGAGGAACTTCTTGCCCTCGTGCAATGTGTATTTGGTCACGTGTTTCCGATACACCATCAGGGATTCAATCCGAATGCCGAATTGGCCTAAATTGAAAGAAACTTGAAGTACAAGAAATAATTTTGTTCGACAACTCGGATCGGCGAGAACTTTGGATACGCTTGTGTTAAGGTCGGAACATTCTGTGATACTTAATTTTGAATTTTCTAACTTTAAACTGATATAAATTAACAAAAATGTGATACTTTTTTTTGAATTTTCTAACTTGTTAACTGATATAACTAAAATATCGCAACACATGCATGTCTCTCGGCACTGAATACAGCTCCAAAATGACTGGCCTCACTCGTAGCCCGAAAACTTCGAGCTAATCAAAAAACGAAACCACCGTTTCGTAATTTTTTGTATATTCTAACTAGATGGGTTGGCGTTTTGATTTGCTCCATTTCTTAATTGTTGCACCGATTCTCACTTGTCAATTAAACCAAATTTATTGTAAATCCCTTTCAATTCCCCTTGAAGGATAGTCAATTAATCTCTTAATTGCACACAAGCGAAGAACGTCAAGAAGTAGCTTTTAAAATGTTAAAAAAAGAGAAAAAAAGGCAAGTAAGAAATAATAGTGAGTCTTCAAAAAAAAGCTCTCTACGGGAATCGAACCGCCAACATGAGAACTGACCTGACTCATAGTAGCCTGGCTCATTGGAGAGTATCATGTTCTCCCTCAAGCCCTCCTCATGAGCATTGGTTCTGTAGGATATGCCCTGGGGGCCCTCGTGGACATTGAGGAATGCACCCACCCCGTGTCCCGTTCCATGCTGGTAGTCCAGACCTATTTCCCACAGGGCAGAACGGGCCACGCAGTCTATCTTGTAGCCTGATCCAAAATATATACAAGTAGTGAACAACATCAGCAACTTCTAACTTTTTTCTGAAATTTATGAGAGTAATTTCAGTACTGTCTTAAATCATTCACTTCCTTTTTGATTTTCAAAAAAAGATTATTTTAAATTGACTCTATGTCGAATTCACTTAACTTTCCATAATCATAAGACATGTTTTTTTTTAAAATATTCTCAAAGCAAGTCGAAAAGTTATCTTCAAAGGGTACGTAAAAAAAAAAACTTTTTTGATAAAATCTTTTCTGCAAAAAACTCTTTTTTTTTTCAAAAAAAAACAACAAAAAACTCACTTATCTCAGATTTCAAATCAGATGTGATCCAAACTGATTATTTACTTCAGCACCAATGACAAAAATCAATTAATTAATCGTATTCTAAAAGCCTCCGCCTGCAGTTTTCCGAAGGCATATTCGTTAAAACATAACCACGCCAATCCTTGAAAAACATGGCTATATGCATGCATTTAAAAGCACTCGTTTATCAATGTGAACCGACAAAGAAATAATGATTCGTACCAATCACCCCCTCTGGAATGACCAGTTCTGCCAGTGCAATGTGTCCCTTTAGCACCAGAGTGTATGTCTCCACCTGTTTGGGGGGAGGGGAGGACAAGAAGGAGACAGTCCTGGTGACGTCAGTCGTCCCCTCCCAATACTGACCCCCACTGTCCACCAGGTACAATTCATCAGCACATAGTTTACTAAAAACAACAAGTTTTAATTTTGTTTATGAAATTTGCCAGACATTTTTGGTTGAGTATTGCAAATTTACATCCGTTTAGCAAACCATGAACCCCCTGCTGAAAACCCGCTTTAAAAAAGTATCATGAAAGGCAAACCTTATTTGTCTCTTTTGTTTTTTTTTCTATTGATAATGTCAAAATAACTTTGGAAGAGCAGTGACGTGCGCAGAATTTTTATTAGGGGGTGGGGTGTTTTTTCGAAAAATTTTAAAAGTATAAGGACTATAAGGAACTTATTTTGTCAAAAAAATTTTCTGTGCCGCAGGCAAATTGTATCAAAAAACAGGCCAAAAACGGCGTTTTTGGACACTTTTTGCAATATTTTGACCTTCAATGAGAAACAGTCGGTTCTAAACTGCTCTTTTTGCTTGCCACGAATTTAAAACATCGCAAACTTATTCAATGGCGAATCTCAATACTCTATTCGATGAAATAAAAGATTCAGTAAATATTTATCCTAAATTGAAAGGCCTATTACAAGGGCTAATTGAGAATGTAAAAGGTAGGGATGATATCATTGTTAAATTGCAAAATCGGGTGCATTTTCTGGAGAATAAAGTTAATGAAATGGAAAGATATAGCTCAAAAGATTGTGTTATTTTGCAAAATTTACCTTTACGATCCGGAAATTTTACCCAAGATGTCCTGGCCTTTTTTAACGAAGTTATGGGCGTGGAGGTGAACAGCTGCGACCTGAAGGCATGCCATCCCCTCGGCCCTGTGAGTCAAAACCAAAAATGTGTGGTTATAGTGAAGTTTGTCTACTTTGATATAAAAAACAGAATTTATGGCCGGAAAATGTTATTGAAAGATTTTTTGCACCCTGTAAATAAGCAACCAGTGTATATAACAGAGAGAATTACTCAGCGCGATTCAGAGCTTCTTGATTATTCTCGGGGTTTGGGAATGTACACAGTTACATATAATTGTGCTCCTCAAGTTTTCGTTTCGAAAGCAGATGGTGGATTTCAAAGGCACAACTTAGTTGATATTAAGGATGCTGATCAAATTTTCAAAAACAAGAATCCAATGATGGCAAGACAGGCAAATAATGCTAGAAAACAAAATTCTCGTGTGGTACAAAATAATCAAAACAGCTTTTCTCGCCCTCCTATTGTTTCAGTGAGGAAGCGTGACAGAGAAATAACCCCAAATAATGTGGAAAGAAATCATCTGATTGATGAATTGTACAGTAGGGTATCGGACCCCATCAAATTGGTGCAATTTGTGGAATCACTTCAAAGAGATTCTCCACAGTCCAAATTCGTCAACAACGGAAATAATAATCATGAAAACGATTCTGATTAGTGGCAAAAGCATTTCAACTCTATTTACAGTTTTTTGCCGTAAATCTCTTTTGTTTCAGTAGAAAAAAACCTTTTGCGAGATATGACTGACCTGACAACAACGCAAAGAGCATTTTTCCTAAATGTTCAATCCATAAGAGCCCATCATGACCAATTATCAGTTTTAATTGAATCATTTGATAACAAGCCTGCATTAATCGGGCTGACTGAAACATGGCTCTCAGACAATGATTCTATTGGCATATATAACTTAGAAGGTTATGACAATATTGTGTGTGCAAACCGCGTAAACGCTAGAGGTGGGGGCGTTGCAGCTTTCATTACAACTGGCCTTAACTATAGTTACTTTAAATTACCAGTCAGTTTGGAGCACATCGTTATCAAAATGTGTTTTGTCGATCACACTAGACTAAATGTTTGCATAATATATCGTCCACCAAATCTCAAACTAGAACTTTTTTGACTTTATTTGAAGATTTATTGCTTGAATTCAAAGCATTAAGCGGGTGAAATTTTGCTAATGGGTGATTTAAATGTCGATATTATAGGTAACCAGCGCAACTTTTTCGACTACAAAAATCTTCTGCTTTCTTTTGATTTAGAAGTTCAAAATATCGAGCCAACTAGAGTAACTAAATCATCAAGTACATGCATTGACCATATAATTGCGGCGGAGGAAACTCAGGTTACAACAATAAATTGTACTATTAGTGACCATTATGGACTTATGTGTAACCTAAAAATTATTTCAGAAAAGCAAAACGTGGATTCTTATCATTCGGATTTCAACTATGATTTACTACTGAATGATGATTATTGTTTAAAATTTTTATTTTCGCTAAAAAAATCGATTGAACAAAATTAAATATGATGATCCTGACCTTTACATCATTGAAATGACCCAAATCTTGATTGATGAGTTTTCAAAGTATTGCTTAAAAAAATCCGAAAAAAAGAATAAAAACAACCACCCATGGATTAATCTGAAAATCAAGAAAATGATGAATAACCAAAATGTGTTACACAAAAAGTGGGTTCAGACACCATCCATTGAAAACAGAACTAATTTCACCTCATGTAGGAACAATGTTATTAAGGCTATAAGGGTGAGTAAACGCCGTTACGATGATAACTTGATAACGAGGAAGAAGAACTCCTCCGGAATTTTTGATGCTTTAAAACATTTCTGTGGTAAAAAAAATGTGAATACTGCTTCTTTCGATGTTAATGTTTTCAATGAATACTTTGCTACTATTGGAGAAAAACTAACAGAAAAATTCAAGCAAAACGTGTATAGATCAAATTTTCCAGTTAATAAAACACGTTCGTTATATATGATAGCGATCGATATGAGATACTGAAGGAAATTAAAAACTTGAACAATAAAAAATCTACTGGTCATGATGGGATATGTAGTAAAATGGTAAAATTTTCTGCTCCGGTGCTGGCTGACCATTTAGCGCATTTTTTCAATATCTGCTTCGAAAAAGGGTGTTTTCCTAATTTTCTCAAAAATGCAAAAATTTTACCATTGTATAAAAATGGCGACAAAACTGAACCCGATAACTACCGTCCAATTAGTCTGTTGTCTTGTATAAGTAAACTTTTCGAAAAACTAATTTTCAAGCGCATATCTAATTTTGCCGCTAAAAACAACTTGATTGATAAGCATCAGTTTGGATTTCGAAGTAATCATTCCTGTACTCATGCCATTTTGTACATTACTGACTTTTTTCGTGAATCAATCGATAATAAAACATAGGCGCTACGCGCAATACACCGAAGGCATAGAAACTGAAGCAAAAACCAAACAACTTGAACAACTAATAATTGAAGAATAACAGTTCTAGAACAAAAAATCGTACTAATACATGTATACACCAAAATTTTGCTATATCGAGAAAGAGCCTGAAATAACAGTTCTAGAACTAAAAATCGTACTAACACATGTATAGGTTAAATTTTTGATATATCAACGAAGATCATAAAATAACACTTCTAGAACTAAAAATCGCACTAACACATGTATACACCAAAATTTTACTATATTGACAAAGAGCCTGAAATAACAGTTCGTGAGCTAAAAATTGTACGAACACATGTATACACCAAAATTTTGCTATATTGGCAAAGATCATGAAATAACAGTTCGAGAGCTAAAAATCGTACTAACACATGTATACGTCAAATTTTTGCTATATTGACAAAGATCATGGAATAACAGTTCTAGAGCTAAAAATCGTACTAACACATGTATACACCAAAATTTTGCTATATTGACAAAGATCATGGAATAACAGTTCGAGAACTAAAAATGGTACTAACACATGTATACAATAAAATTTTGATATATTGACAAAGATCATGAAATAACAGTTCGAGAACTAAAAATCGTAATAACACATGTATACACTAAAGTTTTGATATATTGACATAGATCATAAAATAACAGTTCGAGAACTAAAAATGGTACTAACACATGTATACGCTAAAATATTGCTATATTGACGAAGAGCCTAAAATAACAATTCTAGAGCTAAAATCGTACTAACACATGTATACACCAATATTTTGCTATATCGACAAAGAGCCTGAATAAACGTTGTAGAACTAAAAATCTTACTAACACATATATACACCAAAATTTTGCTATATTGACAAAGAGCCTGAAATATTGACAAAGGACCTGAAATAACAATCGTAGAACTAAATGTCGTACTTACGCATTGTAGATCAATTTCTATAGCTATAATAAAGTACAAAAGATTGTGTTTGTATGTGTAGCAAAACGCCTCCTGTTTTACACCTAATACAAGTATACACAGACCAGTTAATTGAAACTACAGTGTACCTATTACAAGTATACACAGATCAGTTAAACTAAAGAAACTGTGTACCTAATACAAGTATACACGATCAGTTGATTGAAACTACAGTGTACCTAATACAAGTATACACAGCAGTTGAAATAGAAAAACTGTGTACCTAATACAAGTATACACAGACCAGTTGATTGAAACTACAGTGTACCTAATACAAGTATACACAGCAGTTGAAAAAAAACTGTGTACCTAATACAAGTATACACAGACCAGTTGATTGAAACTACAGTGTACCTAATACAAGTATACACAGCAGTTGAAATAGAAAAACTGTGTACCTAATACAAGTATACACAGATCAGTTGATTGAAACTACAGTGTACCTAATACAAGTATACACAGCAGTTGAAAAAAAACTGTGTACCTAATACAAGTATACACAGACCAGTTGATTTAAACTACAGTGTACCTAATACAAGTATACACAAAAGTTGAAATAGAATAACTGTGTACCTAATACAAGTATACACAGATCAGTTGATTGAAACTACAGTGTACCTAATACAAGTATACACAGCAGTTGAAAAAAAACTGTACCTAATACAAGTATACACAGACCAGTTGATTGAAACTACAGTGTACCTAATACAAGTATACACAAAAGTTGAAATAGAATAAATGTGTACCTAATACAAGTATACACAGATCAATTGATTGAAACTACAGTGTACCTAATACAAGTATACACAGCAGTTGAAAAAAAACTGTGTACCTAATACAAGTATACACAGACCAGTTGAGCTGCTGGCAGAAAATCATACAGTGACTAGCTAAAACTTTGTAACCACCTGTTCAGAATGGCAAGGGAAGAATTGAAAATGTTTTTTTTTAAGAATTAAGGTGTAAAATTTATTGGTCGTACATTAAAACAGATATAAAGAAATAAAGAAACAAACATACGCAATCACGTGACATAGCGCGATATAGTCCAGCCCACATGATAATTGATAACTGTGGACGTTATTTGTCGACACTTGACAACAGACAACATTAAAAAAAACCCGTTACACGATACCATAACACCTTGACTAAAGTCTTCGGTGTAAAAATTTGGTTATTCCTGCTTTATTGATTTCCGTCTGTTCCTTTTATACATAAATGATATGCCGTCGGCCAGCAACGTTAAGCTAACATTATTTGCAGATGATACAACGGTAGTTGATGCTCAAAAAATTGCATCCAAAACGAAGTTCCAGACAGAATTAAATAAAATATGTAATTGGTGCAACAATAGCAAACTGTTCATAAATCAAAAGAAGTGCAAAATAATGAAGTTTGGACGGGATAACTTAAATGAAAAATTTTCTTTTGGTAATAATGTACTCGCCGAGGTTTCTAATTTTAGGTATTTAGGAATTAAATGGACAATAGACTCAAATTTGAATGTCATATTAATAATGTTTGTGGTAAATTAGCTAAATTTAACGGTTTACTATTCAAGGGTAGAAACTATTTCTCGAAAAATGTGCTGGTTAAATTTTATAACCACTCATTTCCTACGGTTTAATTGCATTTGGTGAAACATCAAAAAATCTTTTAGAAAAAAAATTTGTGATGCAAAAACGTATTTTTAAAACTATTTGTTTCAAGAGAAAATTTGAGCATGCCTCATATATCCTACATTCGTTTGAGATTGACACCGTTTTTGACTTATATTTCAGACAAATATTCAAAGAAACTTTTAATCAACTTCGTGGTAAAACTCCCCTTGAAACTTTTAATTTGGAATCTCTGAATAATCGTCGGGTTACTCGGGCCTCTGTGGCAAAAACTTTACCAAGCATGAAAACTAGAACACAAATAATGCAACGTTCATGGAAAAATGTGTCTCTTAAATGTTATAATTTTTTGAAATCAAACGAGCTGATACCAGATAACCTAAGCCAATTAACTGAGCATCAATTAAATGAGTATTTCAAAAAATTGTTTTCATTGTTTCTTAAAGATAATGGAGATCTTCTAGATTTATTTTTTTGAATCATCAAGTCGGATACTATCTCGCAACTTCTGTCTCAGGTTTTTTCAGGGTCATGCCTCGATAAGCTGCATAGCTTTTTGCATGATCCTTGGTGGGTTTGATTTGTACATGTGGTTTATTGTTTACCTGTCTGTGTAATATTACTCTCCTAAATAAACTATATAAATATTTTCACTAAAAAATCGCGTTAGTTCAAAAATAGTTATATTGACCCCCCCCCCCCTCACTCAAAATTAGTTATATTGGATGTCATAAAGGTATACCAAAGGGGGACCCTTTGGAAAAATTTGGCAACCAGAATTGGGGGGGGGGGGGGCAGTCGGAACCTCGAAAGCCGCTACCCCCGGTACGCTACTGGTCATGAGGTTATTGAAAAAAGAAGTTGGTTTGTTTAAATAACATGTAAGAAGATTTATGGTCACTGTCCATTGTGGAAAAGATTACCGATCAGTGTGTGGCGATGCCTTGTAGTGAATCACAGCCCCGTTTGGCCCTGAGCCAGAGATGGTGTCAAAAGACAGACTGATGAACCCCTCCTGTTGCGACCTCAGACCATCCAACATATCAGACCCACTAATTTCTGTGAACTCCTTCTTCGAGCTTCCTTCTACACACAGAACATTTAAAGTGAATTCTGTTATTAAAACTTCTTAAGAAAAATTAGCTGTTAGTGCCAATTTGCCCTGTCTGAAACTCACCACTTAAACCAAAAACACTTCAACACTAGTTTTGAATTTGTCTTTAACAACGGCCCAACAATTAAACGGGTAAAGATGGTTGTTGTACAAATAGCATAAAATCTTCCGATCAAGCTCGTTTTTGCAATAAATTTTTTTTTCCGTCCAACTAATGGTTTATTTTTGTAGCTCGAGAGAGGGAAGTGAACTGATTGACAAGCAATAGGAAACTTGTAGTCTGAAAATTTGTCCAGTATTTCTTGACATTTTCGATTTTTTTTCGGAATTCGAATCGCGACCAATGGAGCTTTAATATGATACCAAACTTGACTACTAAGAGGAAAAACACAGGGTACGTCATAGCTTCTTACAATCACTTCGACGTTTATTAAAAAATTATAAAGTTTTTCACCAAATGGGGGAAAAAGATTTATATTCGTTAGACTGAATTTGTCTCCAGAAACAGCTTATGATTGATTAATTTCTGAGATAGATCACAATAATATTCCATCCGACCTACCTGTACCTGTGGAAGAACGGCATAAATTGGTATGGAGGATACGCAGATACTCGCACAGTGCAATTCCGTCCTTAATGTGAACTTGTCTCATACATTCCACTTCACACTCGTTCTTGATCGCCTGAAGTCAAATTGGGATCATAAAAAAATAGAGTGGTTTCTGCGCTTCGCTTGGATCTATGAGCGGCTATCCAGCTGTCTCAGCATAGTCCGTTTCTATCATTTCGACTCATTCCAGATTTATTTACTCTGTTCAGCGAAAGCTCCTCTTTTTGTTCCGACTTTCGATACGAAAGTAACGGAATATTTGTGCTCGGGGTGGGTTTTTTTTTCTTCAGACAAATTTCGACTTTTTAACTAGCCATTTTTGACGGAACTTTTTTATATCATTCAAAAGTTATTATTGTCCTGAGCTTAAATTTGAAAAGATATTTCACCTGTGATCATTTTTCGTAAAGTTATGGATCTTTCATGTGGTATAGATCTTTCACGTGGTGATAAAGTTACATGTAATAAAAATAGTTATATTTCATTAACTCCGAGGATCTATGAAAAAGGCTGTGGCCATAGACTGTATCGCTGCATTTCTGACCGAGATCTTTCTGCCTGGAGACCAAAAAGTATAGTTAAGACCATTTATCCACGGGGGAAAGGACCAACACAAGAGCTGTACAGCTCATCACGGCGAACCGCTGTTGTGCCCCTGTTTAAGAACTACATGGATATTTTTATTGGTTATTTTTCTGGGCTGGGTAATGTTTCCTCACCGTCAAGCAACGAGCACGGATCATGGTGGGCCTCGAACATCCGACCTTTCGATTGAGAGGCGGAGACGTAACCACTTCACCACCGCTCCCCTAGCATATACAAATACGGCAAAAAATCTACCCCGCTATAAAATTGAAAATCCCTTTACACACATTTCGACACAAATTTTACACATCACTTGCTCAGGACCCGTTTTGAATTTGAGGGATCTACAGCTAGCAATGGCGCGGGGTTATAATCACAGTTTCTAAGGGGGGCGGATTTTAATAATAAAGGAGCGCTTGAAGCTTTGAAATCAAACATATTATTTTGCATGCTTTCGCTTCCCCGTTTTTTTCTATTTTCCACAAACCTGGTAACACAAATCTTTTGACAAAAGGAGCAGAAAGATAGGAATATAACGAGATTGATTTTTGATACAGGCGATGTCTTCAACTCAGAACGTACTACCTTTCCATAGGCTTTGAAAATTAGTTAAATTTTTATTGATTGTCAGAATATAGATGAAACTTACTTTATGAGCCATGTAGGGGTTTTTAACAAAATAAAAAAGATCAGCTAGATTTTTGCTACCTTAATTTTGACTCCACTTTATTGTAGATAATATAATTGTGTGGGAAAAGCACGTCGCCTCAAAATGTTAAGTTCTCGTTTCAAAACAACACAATGCTTGGGAAAAAATTAAGATTTTAATAAAAACAACTAATGAAAAAGAAAACAGTGTTCGAACAAGGGTCTGAGCTAAGGCTGGATGAGCCTGTTCAGGGGCGGATCTAGGATTTTCTCGAGGGGGGGCGGATTTTCAAAAAAATTTTGAAAATTTTGCCGACCTTTTTTTTAGGTCGACCGAATTGATTTTAGCTCTCCCTAAGCACGGTTTAGTCCTTGTTTTGGCCAAATTGTCTGCGCCGCAGGTAAAATTTTTGAAAAAACAAAAACAGTCTAAAAAAGGCGTTTTTGGGCACTTTTTGGAAAATTTTGACCAAAAAATTGCGTTTTTTCGGCGCGCACTCTCCCTCAAACTTAGTATATATTCGCGCCAAAGGCGCCTTTAGAAACATTTTAGGGTCGGTTCGCCAAAAATGGATTTCTTAAAAAGTACCAAAGGGGGACCCTTTGGGTCGGCAGGGGGTTGAATCCCTGAAGGGGGCGTCCCCCCCCCCCCTTAAATCCGCCCCCTGAGCCTGTTTGATGTTTTCAAAATATGTACGGATGCGGGATGAAATGCTTACTTTTTAGAAATCCAAAAATGAGACTTTACCCAAAACCTTGCTAAGTTGTTTCTCTACTAAAATACGGGATTAGACGCTTATGCAGGGCAGACACCTAATACACGTTCTTTTAACTGAACTCAGTACCAAAATTGTCCTTACACTTTCAAAATTGCGAAAAATGGACTATTTCTAGAGCCTTACCGGCTATTCTACAAAAAAGGATGAAACTCGTATGCAAAAAAGATTTTTGCACCGTGTTCTTTTGATCGTTTTGTGAAGTTTTTCATAACGACCCGCACCGAAGTTTCATGCATAATAATCGATTATAAAGGATTTTTGTTGACTTAAGTGTTATCTATATAATCCATTATCATGGCAAATTTAGACAACGTAAGGGATTTTTAATCCATTTTATTCGATTTTCTTTCGAAATATCAAAATCCATTATAATCGATTATAATCCATTTTTGTTTTCAAAATAATGGATTATTTTTTGTACATAAAAACCATAAAAATTAATCATATTTTGTTAATTGTGTAATGACTAATTTTTGCAACATTTTGCAAAACTCGACCGAGCACGTTCATTCAGGGGCGGCAAATATGTAGTAATTCCCCCCTACGTCCCCCCTCCTTCCCCACATTTAAACCCAAACCACCCCCTCCCCACGCGTTTACCACATCCCCACTAAACACCCCACCGGGACAAGTAACTTTGTTGTAAAGATAAACGTGGGGGGAGTGTAGGTTGGTGTGAGGTCTACCCCACAACACATCCCCTTCATACCACTCCAACACACCCCCCCCCCCCCACAGGTTTACCCATACAACATTATTACTTAGTGGGAGTGTGGGTGTGGTAAACGCATGGGGAGGGGTGGTTTGGGTTTAAAGGCGGGTTCGGCGACTAAAACTCAATTAAAATAACCCCAACAAAAAAATTCCCTGTTTATAAAACTTCATCAACGGGATTGAAAATAGAAAAAAGTTAAAATTTAGCCTGAGGTCACAATAACTAAGTTAAGCTTAACATTATTATTAAAAAACAAAAACGGCAAACCGAAAGATTTTAATAAATGGATTATAATCCATTATAATCAATAAAAATGATCATTTTTTTTGATAAATTTTTTTTTGAAAATAAGTTGAAAATAGTCGAGTATAATAGATTAAATTGGGATTTTATTGCTTAAAAATAGTATCATTAAAATCCATTTTCAATCGATTTTAATCATTTAATTTTGTTATTTTACAGAGACTGACAATGAAAATCCAATGTAATCGATTATTATCCATGAAAATTAGTGCGGGGAGGCCAAACTGTGCAGTTTGTGAATTGTAATCAAGATTGGCAGCAAGTAACTTCTGCGCTAACTAATTTTTCACAAAAACTTGCTCACCTAAGCAGCAAAACACTGGCATCCAGAGCATTTTAAATCTACACAAAGAGTATGAGGGGCCGCCAGGGATCCTTAGGGGGGGGGGGGGGGCAAAATCACCTAAAATAAGACGTGGGCGCCTAAGATCCGACACCTAAGGGGTCCAAAATTATGTTGTAGTCAGCCGGCATTTTGCTGGTGGATTACAAGATCCTCAATTGAGGATCCAAATTTTTGAGTGGCCTCCCCCCTGAGGATTTTACCAAGAGTCATATACCCATGTAACAAATTTCTAGATCCCTGGCGGATAATCAAAGTAGGATCCTTAAAAAAATTTTCACCCGATTTATGTTTAGAAAAAAGCATAAATTAGCATTCTTTCGCCCTTTGGTACGTTCGACTTGGAATGCTGCCATACTTTTGGAGTGGGTAATAAAACAAAGCAAGTATAGCTTTGGCCAGCATAGTTTTAACGGTCTATTGAATGCTGTAGAGTGTTTCCATGTTTTAAATGTATTAACACTGAAACGTATGTAAACCATAATTACTCACCAAGGTTGCAATCCGGTTGCAGTCGTCGCTGTTACGTCTAGACGATAACGTAATAATAAATAATGGTAAAATTGTGGATTAATGAATTGCGAAAAATGAACTTAATGGGAAGTTGGCATGCAAGTGACATTGATTCGGAGCATTTATCTTTCACTGTTTTTTCAACTGGGCGTCAAATAAAAAACGAATACATTCACAATCGTCATATAGTTTTCGTGTCGAGAGCCAAAGAAGTTGCAAATAGAGAATATGCAGAAAGTTGTAAAGAACAGTTTTATCTGGATGAGCTTTTACAAATAACGTGGTGTATTTATGCAAAACAGAAATATGGAAAAGCAACTGATTTGACCTTTGCTACCTATGAAAATATCTTTGATTATTCATTTGATTTCAACTCAATGATGGTTGAGAAAGAGCTGGAGCGAAAAATACGACTTTGTTTTAATAATATTTCAAAATATCAAAAACTTCCGGTAGTTTATCTAAATATATACCATCGAGATATAGGTCTAAGTAAGTGGTATCTGGAAGGTTACTTTCATTTCCATTGGCTTGAAATTAAGCAGGTCGGAGAAGTGCTAGCAAAAATTAAAAATGAAATTGGAAAAACGAACTGTAACTTCAACGGACTTGGAAATTATCCATGAGATATTTATTACTTTGAAAAAAACGTATCCAGAAAACGACAACCGTCGGAATTATTTCTTAGCTGCATGTTCTTTATTCTTCTTCTCGACTACTAACGATATAAACTACGATGTTGCTATCAAGCTGAGACCTTATGGTGGACTAATCGGGATAGAAAATTCTTCGTTAGACAAATATTTAAGTGATTCAAAAATTTTACGAATGCAAGCTATTTTACACGATGCCGCCGTTTTGTCCGCGAAGTTTATAAGACTGGTCCCACATACTGCTATGTTTTACCATGGAACTGCAACAGTAGTCTGATTGGTCATTTGAGTGGAATTACGTTTTGTTTGTATATCAAACTGAGGAAACCGAAACTCTACCATTTATTAGAATGCTGAAGGAAAGATCAGTTGTGTTGGATTTTGAGGGGTTTCGACACCAGACAAACACATTTATAGTAAAAGAATTAGCTATAACCACTTCCGACTACAGTGATTCCCTAATTTTTCTACCTCCAGTTAATTTCAATTCCCTTCCAAAATCTGAACAAAAAGCCTACATTGGGATAGCGGTGA